CTATTGGCTCGATTCCAGAATTGCTGGTGTCAGATTCTACAGCTCCAGGTTTTTTATGAAGAGGGGTAGCCAGGTAAAAAGACTACATTATCTCTCTTCAGTGCCACACAGCACTCCAGATCTTCCTTATCTGAAGAGATGGAATGGAACAGACTTACACAGTAGGACCCAGAAGCATGCTCCTGATTCCTTTGGTTTTTCTGGGGGAGAGAAAGGAGGAACAAAGGAAAAGGGTAAGGATGACATGAAAGAAAGGATACTACAAAAAATTTAGATGATTGAGGAAATCTAGAGATGTAGGAAGGTTTAGACTGATAGGTGGGAGGGTACATTGTGCTCTACCTATGAGCTGCCATGTCCAAGGAGGCTAAGACAGATGTGCTGTGGGAGAGAGGTAGACTCCAGTACATCAAAGCAGTTGTCAGCTGAAAGATTCTGCTGCACCTTAGGTTGGGATCAAGTGTGAGATTGAGCCTGTAACGTGGAAAGTCTGCTGTGCTTAATTCTCTTCACCTTATGAGAGGACAGAAGGGATCTCTACACCTTGCAGGAGAAAATGATCATTGTTCTTCTAACCTAAACACTCTAGAGGACAAAGAAGAGATTCCACATACAGGGCTGCAGTAGTAGGGTGAGGGAATAGGACCCCATGAGGCACGGTTTTCCGAATACGTCAGGCAATCTAAGTCCACTAGCTCTTGCAGGGCCCAGAAAAAAAAGAATAGTCCTGAACTGGCACTGTGGATAATAACAAAGTCATCTCTATTTAATAGACAAGGGTGCAGAACACAGCGTTTAGGACTGCTGGTAATCTCAAGAACCACTCTGAATGCTCACAGACTGGAAGAGTGCTGACATAGAACTACTGGCAATTAACTGGCTGTGGATTACCACCCTCGGTGTTTCTTTCCCAGCCCAATCTGCTTTTGCATCCTGTGATTTTACTATGCCCTGTTGTCACTGGTTTAGCAGATCTTTGCTCGGTGCTCTCTGATGCATGTAGTCAAGCCTGGTGTGCTTCAGACCTCTTCTCTCATGTTGGTACAGCTGTCAAACTGAGATGCCTGCCTAGTGTGAACACTTGTAATTAGGTGACCTTCTGGTACGTTAGGTAAGCCAGAAAGAAAGACTCAGAAATTATATTTTGCCATGTGACACTACACTGGAGATGGGAGACATGGTTTGGCTTCCAGGCACATAGTACAGAGCCCTGTCACATGAGCTAGAGGAGTAATCTGCTAGCAGAAAACACTTCCTTTCTGAAAATCTAAACCCAGGTAGATGAGACATGTTTTCCCAAAGGACTCTGTAGCTGTTTGCTGTTCTGCAGAGTAATGCTGAGAATAAATCAAACTCTCTTCTGGATTTTGGAGGCAGAGGTGGTTGCAGAAAGAACAGCCAAATATCTGATAGTCTCCTAGAACACTAGAGCAGTATGTCACAGGCAGTGCTCTTCTGTCTCTTCCCCTAATTTGTGCCCTTCTCTTGATTCTTCTATCCCCCTGAAGCCCTGTCATCCCGAGATGTCCCTGCCCTCTTGGCTTCCATCTGCTCTTTCTCTGACCTTGTTGCCTCTGCACATCCCACCCTGCCTGTCCTTAGGTGCTGTCCCACAGCTCCTCTTTTAAGTCATTATTTTTGTCTTCCTTCTCCTCTTTATTGCCGTTTCAGGCTGATTCCAAACCCAGGTGGCATGGGGTGTTGGAGAGTGGGGTCAGGCCAGCTCTCTGTCCTCTGCTCATATTTGGGGCTCTCTGAGTTTCTATGGCAGAAGCATGCTCTGCACTATAGGCAAGTGTTCAGCAAAGATAATATCTGGATTTCAGACAAGCTCTGGTGAGCATGTGCAAGTGGAAAGCAGTGATTTACAGGTGGGTCAGATCTGACAGAATTTTCATATGGCCAGAAGTCCAGGATGATGATTCCAGGGATCAGGCCCCACTAATTTCAGGCCCCTGCATGAAGCACTGAACTGCACTGAAATCATTGTAAGACATTTTCAGCATAGGCCAACCATCATTTTTCACCAACCTCATTCTTGGAAGTTGCTGACCAGCTTTCAGTGAATCATTCCCAAAATAAAATTCAGCCCAACACAGAGATCAAGGATGGAAAATTTCAGCCTAGAATGATCAAAATATGAAAAAATTAGAAGCAGCTGAATAACGTGCCTTATAATCAAAAGTGTTAGGCAGTGTTAAATATAAGATTTGTTGCCATCTCCTCCTATAACAGAGGGATGGCTATTTAAATATTCAGTTTGGGATAGACTTTCTGGTATGACTGACAAGAATTTTCCTTCCAAACATGAGGCATATGCTCAAGAAAGACATCTGATAAGGAAAAACAGTGGTGACTGTATGCAAACTGTTATGCCATCTGAATTATTTACATTGCTTAGAGTTCACCAGATTCTTCACTGAAATGTTTCAAAGTCCCAGACTGAACCGACCACTAGTGGATGCATCAGTGAGAGAGATGTCAACTTGACCCACAGTGATTTGCCATCTGTGAAAAGCAAACAAATACAACCAACTGGAGTAACGAGCATCGTGACTGTAATAGGAACTGGAGCACAGATTTACAGAGGACCTTTGTGTTTGGACTCACGAGCTTTCGACTATGTTGGTATTGAAAAGTAAGCAGCTGCAAAACCCCGGCTATGCAGATCTGTGCAAAAATTGAGCTTTGGCTGTTGACTGCTTGACATTTTCCCTGCAAGCCTGGACCAGATGTGCAATTATTTCCTATATTATTTTATTCAGTTTTCAAAAGAAGGCAGCAAGGCTTCCAGCAAAGTTTTTAAAGGGAGGGAGGCAGGGAATAATGGAGGGAGGGATGAAGGGCAGGGGGGAGGGAGGGTAGGAGGAAGGGAGGGAAGGAAGGAATAACAGAGGGTGGGAGAGAGGTACTTTTATTATGCTCCAGTGAAAGGGCTCCAGAACTTTAAAACTTGACCACTTTTTTTGAGTATATGCAGGGGCTGTAATCAAAGATATTATCTCTGTGGCAAATTTTGATTTCCTTAGAATTTAACAGCTTCACAGCTAAATCACAGGACTATTACTAGTATTAGAGAAAATACTACATTTGGGACAAAAAAGTCATTGCTACTTTGAATTGAGCCCATTGCTGAAGGGAGAAAATACATCTAGATGCAAAGTACAGCCTTTTAAAAGCCACAGCACAAATGCAGAGATTTTTCCCCTTTCCTGATCCAAAATACAGTAGTCACAGACTATTTTTAATTCATGTAAAATTATGATAATCATGAAACCATAAACTTTATGGTTTGGTGAGTTGCCTGCAATGTGCATCCCTAAAGTAGGGGAGTCCTTAAATCAGCATAATGAGAAATATGACAGAGGACCCTGCAGACAACTTGTAGGCTGAAACAAAGATCAGGGCAGACCAGATGTAGTTACATCTATTACTGTGCTGTTGCACCAGAAAATGTTAAGAATAAAACACAGAGAAGGAAGATTTCCAAACATATTAGCGGGCATTCTTGTGATGTGATCTTAGTGGTTTTAAGGCCATAGCATCTTGAAGGCCAGCAAGTACTGGGCTTTTTTTTTGTTGTTTTTAACAACATAAATTGATATATATGACCCAAACCTGACATCTAGCGGAGAAAGAATGAGGGCAGGATTTTCCGTCCTTTCCCAGGGATGTGCTTGGTTATGTACACATAGGGAGAACACAGCTTTTCTCTTCAGAAGTGACCTGAAGGCCATCTGCTGCACAGCTCTTCCTGAGCAGGAAAGCAAACCAAAGAGCTCATGGGCACTCTAGCTGTGTGCACACCTTGTCTGGTTTGTGACACCAGTATCCATGGCTATCCATGCCAGAAGCTAAATTCACAGTGCTGTTGTCAGAGAATAAGCTCTGAAGGCTGAATTTTAACAAGTTTCCGAACACAACAGTAGAGATGACCATGCCTGGTTGAGTTTGGGCAGGATCTTGTGAATATATCTAGCAGAAGAACAGGGGTTCATTGCAGCTGCATAGACGGTGTCAGTGAACTACAATTTCTGCTGTCAGAAACTTCAGGTCTGCAGTCCTGGACCAGACCAGCCAGCTGAACACCAGGTTCTGAGGCTGCAGTTCTGTTCACCTTCCAGCTCTTTCCCAGTGTGTTGGCTCACTCACTGCCCCATCTGGGATGCTTGGGCTGGGAGGACAACAGTACTGGTAAAACTTTGGGAGTGTTTTAACAAGTTTCTTCCTCACCCTCTACACCTCTTATCATAATATCTCAAATTTCAGTTAGTAAAAATCAAAGCTTCAAGATCTCAGAGATGCATGGAAATGTTGAAAGCATTTTTTTATCCCAAAGGCTAAAAAACCAAAAGACAAATAAAACTGTCTAGTGCTTATTTTTCATATCTTGCAAATTTGAGATCTGTTGGCACCTCAGTCCTGGTTTGTAATGCTAACAGGGGAGGTGGAGGGAGGCATAGAGAAGTCCCACCAGCTCCAAGCACAGAAAAAGGAGGACTGACAGTCCTCTTGGGAGATGACTGAGTGGGGGCCAAAGGAGGGAATCTGCAAGCCCAGTGGGAGAACAACTGGATCATGAGAGCACTCATAGCCCATTTAAAATGGCAGAAGACAAAGGGTATTTTAATTGTTCATATACTGTAGGAGGCAAAAAATATCTCTTTCACACATGCTGGTAAAGAGTCCAAGCTCTGTAGCTGTGGGTTGTAACAATTCACTCTGTCTGTGGATCATCATTTTGGTAGGATCTGTAGCACATGAAGCAGCAAGTTATCAACAGTTTAGAGATTCAGTAAAACCCCTGAAATACTGTTGCTCTCCTAAATGAATGCACAGCCATCAGCAGCTGCCAAAGAGCTCAGCTCTGGGGCTCTGTCCCAAGCAATCACACCACTGACAAGATGATGTATGTTTTTAGAAGGAATTTTTAATCACCCAATAGCAAAACAACATTAGTGTTATACAAACAGTGCAAAGTTTACCACAGGATTGAGCTTTAATCTCTGATGGTTGCTTATTGACTCTAGAAAAAACAGAATCTACTCAGTGAAAAGACCTCTACATCCTGTTTGCAGGCAAACTTGAGGGAGAAGCTCTCACCTCCTGCAGCTCTCCCTGAAACCCGAAGTAAGTCTGAACTGAGATCTGAACTGGGAGACAGGACCGAGCCTGGGTTGTTTAAAATTGCTGTTTATTCTGCCATGAGAGGACTTGGTTTATCTTGTTGTGCTTTCTAGTTTTGACCTTTGTAAGAATTGGAAAGGCAGAAGTTGCAATACATTGTTTAAAGTATGTCACAGTATATATGTGAAGACTTGTGCTATCGGCAGTGCTTGATGTCTTGAATGCATGGAGAGCGGGCTCGGCATGCTTACACCACTGGCTACCTAATGCCTGTCAGATGAGACAAAACAATACATTTCTTCTTCATCTTCCGATGAGTCCTTCATCTTGGGCTCTTTTCTAGCATAGAATGTTTAGTCCTAATTTTCAAATGTAAACACGGGTACCTCAGTCACTGAGACATCTCCATGCCTGCAGTTTGACAGGTTGTTTCTGTGTACATAACCTGTGTGTTTATCTGTGCCAGAACTGTACAACATCAGACACACGGGACTGATTTTGGTGAAGCTTGCAACCCCTGCTAATCTGTGGTGGGAGGCTAATCCTGAAAATTAGGATATTTACTTCTTCCTGTATGTTTTCAGAAAAATCAGACTGAATCACAGCTGTTTAAAAACTTCATGTTTTCATATACCTTACTAAATGCCTATTTTAATCAGAGCTGTGGAAGTAATTACAATAAACAATTTAGCAAATTGACTTTGTCTGTGTTTTGTACATGTTTTTCCTCATACACAGCCATGGTTTGCTAAAACATTAATTTGCACAGCTTTTAGTCCTGGCTACTTCAAAAGTATGTAAGTGCAGGCATTTGCTGGGCAGCATTTATGTTGGTTTGATTAGACATCTGGGTAACACAACATCACTTGTCTTCCCTGAAAGGCTGAGGGTAGTTCTTAGAAACATGTTTCATTTTGCATAAATTGTTTTTTGCCAGTATTATCTCATGGTTTGTCCAAATTCTGTATGCTCCTTTTATAGTATATGTCATGTAATACAAACACCCAGAAGATATTTATTAAAGAAGAGAAATGAAGATCTGTAGAAAATGCTTTGTTTTTTTCCACAGAGTTGCTCTTCCACTTGCACTCAGAGTCAGGACGTAGTTTTACAATGTGTTCATGCTGGAGCAGGTTCGATGTAGACGCTGCATTTACTTGTTTCCAGATTTCATAATCTCGAATTCCATCACTGTGTTCCATAACTAATTGTTCAGTCAGGGAGCTGTCCTTAGGGGTAATCTAGCAAATGATCTGCTGGGACAAACTTTGAGGAGAATTAGTGGAACAAATAACCCAGCTAGTTTTAAGATGGAACTTATGACAGAATTATGCAACTAAAAGATTACAGGACCTAAAATGTCTTCTTCAGGCTGCTGTTTAAAACAGAATAAAGAAAGGCACAGAGATGCAAGCTTCCTATGGCTGCATCTGCAAGTTTTCCTCATACTAGGGAAGAAGATGCATTCATAGACTGATGTGCACAATAGACAGAGACAATCTCTCAGCATGTCTTCAAAAAGACAGACAGCTCCAAGGTATTGCATTGAGTGACATGAGACCCCCTGGAAGAGAGAACGACAGTTCAGAGATCTAATTTCTCCTCCATGCTATTCTTTTCTTCAAGGTTCCCAGAGCCTCTCTCAGCAATGGCTATGGTATGTCTTTCAGACTTTGAAGCCTACGCTAAAAAGTATTTACCCAAGATTGCTTGGGATTATTTTGCAGCTGGAGCAGATGACTGTAACACACGGGATGAAAACATCTTGGCATATAAAAGGTAATGTGAGGAGGAAAGGAGGGGTGTTGTACTGGGAGCTTTTAAACTACGTTTTTGTGCAAATGGTTGGACTTCACAAGCAAAGACATCTAAGACCTTGCCTTTTCAAGGTGATCCCCAAGCAAAATGCACTTACCTGAGTGATATATGCTGCATGGTCTGATGCCAGCCTGACTGTGACACAGATTGTGTGAGGCATAAGTGATGCTGAGGGTACAGGCAGGTGGTAGGATATGGTAGGGTAGGGTAGGCTATGGTAAGGTAGGGTACGGTACCGTGTGGTATATATGGCATGACAGGAAAGGGGATGAGTAGCTATAATAGAATGAGATGCAACAGGGAGTTCTTGCAGAAAAGTAGGAAGTCTAAGCATAAATAGGATGGGATTTGGGGAACACGCTGCAGAGTGTGAGGGCAGGCACACTGTACAGTGAGGACAGACGTATGAATGGTGTAGTGGAAGGCACCAACCTGGGATTGGGCTGCAAGTAGAAGCAACTTAGGGGGTGGACAATGGGAGAACAAGACATAGAATCACAGAATATGCTGAATTGGAAGGGACCCACAAGGTGAGCTGAAGTGGGAAATGAAGAAATTAAGTACTGTGGCCAGTAAGCAGGATTAATGGAAAATGGAAGTGGTTGAACTTCTGGCTGAACTGACCTTTAAAAGTGAACAGAAAGGAAGAAGAGCCTCTGTTATATGCCGTTCTATTTATTGTCTCATATTCCTGCCTTGTAGTTGGTAAATGAAGACCTGGTTCCGTGAAACTTCAAAAAAGTCACTGAACATCTACTATCCTGAATGTGGTTCTTTTTGCCTTGCAGAATTCGTTTCCGGCCACGTATGCTGCGGGACGTATCCATGATGGACATTAGGACTAAGATCCTGGGGACTGAAATCAGCTTTCCTGTAGGAATTGCCCCCACTGGCTTCCACCAGCTAGCATGGCCTGATGGAGAGAAAAGCACAGCCAGAGGTATTCTTCTGGTCTGTTGCCATGTTGCAAAAAGGGTGGTTTGTGGAAAGGCCTCAAGAAGCTTTTAGGATGGCTTGAAGTGTGACTGAGAAAAGTTTTCAGGCTTGAAGGGGCAAACTCCTTTCCCACTTTCTGACACTCTGCATGGGAACCTGTATAGGCATTGCTCTACTTCCCCAGCTACCACTATTACAAGATCCTCACTGTGGAATCTGCTGCAAACTTAAGACAAGGGCATTGGACCCATTTCTAACTTACACCAAGAACCACACAAGGTTCTCAGTCCTGGTGGCTCTAGATAGGTCATAAAAGTGGTGGATGAGACTCAGACTGTGAATTCCTTGTTACCGGTTAAGAAGTGTCTCCCTTGGAGAAAAAGAGGGATGGTACCTCTTCACAAATCCTATGGTGGGTTTGGATACCTGATGCTTTAAAATGACTCTTTTCTTCTGTGTGTTTCTGTGTACAAAAAGTGGAATTGAGAGTGCATTCCTGTGAAAACTCAGTCATAAAAAAAAATTCATGGTTTTTCAAAAAAAGTAGTTGCAAAATGAATGCACAGCTTGGTAAATTGCCTCTCTCTTTCCCACTTTCTTAACCATGATCCTACCCTAGTGCATGGTAAATACAGCTACTTTTAATCCGGGGGTCATAGTTGCACTGTGCTTCATAGGATATACGTAAAACAGGAGTTCAGGAAGTCTCTGCAAAGAGTACAAAATTTTGTGTCTGATGTCTGGCGAGATGGTTCAAATGACTTTGTTTCTGATTCTTTTTCAATACGTCCTGAAGCGGCTAAAGCCATGAACACCTGTTACATTGCCAGCACATACTCCACCTGCACGCTGGAGGAGATCTCTGCGGCTGCTCCCGGGGGCCTCCGGTGGTTCCAGCTCTACATCCACCGCAATAGGGCAGCTTCCCGTCAGCTGGTCCAACGAGCAGAGGCCTTGGGTTTCCAGGCACTTGTCCTCACTGCGGATCTGCCCTACGCGGGCAAAAGACGGGACGATATCCGCAATGGTTTCTGCCTTCCACCCCACATGAAACTGAAGAACTTGGAACAAGATTTTGAGGTTTGTAAAATGAGCCTGTCCTTTTATTCACTCTGCTGGCATGTACCACATGAGACAAAACCACTGGGTAACTGCTGCTTTGGCATCTGCTCTACCCAGGGTGTATCTTCTCCCCTTCTGGTTCTGCAGCATCCTGCCTTGATCTCCTGCCAACCTGCGTTCTGACTTCAAAATCCCCATCCAGATGCCTAAGACACACTGATCTTCACCCCCACTGTAATTATTCTTCTTCAGAGATGTATGCTTTCTGGAGCTGATGAACATGTTTGTTAGCAAGTTAATTAATCCTTTCTATGGCAAGGAAAGACTTCAAGGGACCTCTGAATTGCTGCAGCTCAGATGAGGGTTCCTTTTGTTCTATGGCTGTAGGGAGATGACCGTTCTGAGTACGGACTGCCACCCAACAGCTTGGATCCTTCCATCACCTGGAATGATATCTACTGGCTGCAGAGCCTGACCCACCTGCCCATCATCATCAAAGGCATCTTGACAAAAGAAGATGCAGAGCTGGCAGTAAGACATGGAGTTCAGGGAATTATTGTGTCCAATCATGGTGGAAGACAACTGGATGAAGGACCTGCCACTGTAAGTGAGACAATGGATGTCCCATGACTGCTTACAGTCTGCATATTTGCGTTAACCTGAGTATCTCTATGACCAGCTTTGTGTGTACACTTTTGGTGGACTTGTATTTGTTCAGTGGCTGTGGGTGTGTGCAGATGTACTTTAGCTTTAAACTCGTAAGATCTGTGACTTGGCATGAGCTACCCACTGAAGTATTTTCTCATCTTCTTGGGAGGGTTCTGTAAGTGTTGCAGAAACCACATAACTGCAGATAAAGTACTGGCCTAAGTCAGGAAAAGTTTTCTGCCTGTGTCTCCATGAGCCGGTGCAGTGCACACAAACTCTTTGTGCACTGCAGCAAAAGGAAAATGAAGCTCTGAAACCAAAAATATACAAATGAAAGCGTAATGTATTCTCATTGTTCACATCTGTCAAAACATGCAAAACAACACAGCTAGATTTAGTGAGAGGCCTGCTTGTGTATTTACAGACTCAAGTCTAAATGGGAATTTATTGACTTTCATGAGCCAGAAAAAGGATAACTTATCTGGAAAAAAATTCCCCTGCTTTTTAAACTGTACAAAGAAATCAAGCATCATTTGGACATGTGTGTATTTCACTGGTTTAATTTGGCTTCTCTCAGTTTTTCCAATTGACCTTATTTTACAGTTCTGCATTGCATAGTATCTTATGAATTTTTTTTCTCTGTTTTCTTTTGTAAAATAAAAATAGGTACCAGGGAATTGTCTTCTATTCTACATCAAGCCTGACAATAATGAATAAAAAATATTTATAGTCTAAATGCTAAGGGCATAATAACAGAAATGGCATCCACATTGAATTGCTCTTCTACCATAAAAATTTCTTTACATACACAGACAGGGCAGTAGATACCAAGTTTGGCTCTGATATTCTTCTGGTACCAAGCCTGACAGTAGAATCTATTGCCCCTGTCCTTGATGAGCTACTCCTAGAAAATTTCAGCCTGAAAGTTTTAGTGCTTAGTATTCTTAGTTATAGCTGCTCTACTAAAAAAACAAAAAAACAAAAAAACACAACAAACAAACAAAAAACCAAACAAAAACGATTAAAAGGAGGCAAAAGGGTACAAGAGACTGCAGAAAAGAGCCATTTGGGTTTGCCATTTGGGACTCTAGTCCATGTTGGACTCTACAAAAAAGACATTAGGGAATCAGGAGACTTAATGTGGAGGAAATGATATGTTGACTGTCATACAAAGCAAATTAAATCCTTCACAGATGCTTTAGGGGGTTTGAGGAGGTATTCAGCAGGTGGTCACCAGGATTAGGTTGAAATGTAAATGTAGGCAGTTTAGACATTAGCCTTTTTTACAAACATTTGTCTCAAACAAAAGTAAAATATTAATAATAGTTATTTTCATTGAAATTTATATATAAAATCTTCCATAAAGCACTCATCAGAAGTGCTAGCAAAGAATATCAATTTAGGCAAAGCACTGGAAAATCACATTAACTATCTGGTAAACAGAATAGGGAGCTGCACTTTATCCTCCAGCCTTTGGTGCTGAGCTATTTGTGATGCGTTGTCACATTTTATTTTGAGAAGGTATGCTATGAAAGCATTGTCTTCCTGCCTGTCTCTTTGGAATATATCCTCTTTCTCTTGGAATCAAAGGCTGACCTCAAGGTGAGACTGGATGCTTCTTTGCAGATTGATGCTCTGGTTGAAGTTGTGGAGGCAGTACAAGGCAGAGTTGAAGTTTATTTAGATGGTGGAATAAGAAAAGGAAGTGATGTGTTAAAAGCACTGGCACTGGGAGCAAAATGCGTCTTTATTGGAAGACCAGCTTTGTGGGGTCTGGCTTACAAGGTGAGTGAGGAGTTTTCAGTTCATATGCCTGCTTCTCATACTCTCCAACACTGTTGTTATTGAAGTCAGAGTGAAAAAGTTTTCACTGGAGAAGAATCTCTTTTTTTTTAATGGATTTTTAAGTGGAATCACCCCAAATTGAATTAAAATCTGACATTTCTGTGATTTAAAAATACCACTGAATTTCATGATTTCCTATATATGCTGCTTCTTAACTATGGGAATATTTCTACAATCCAGAGTCATGAATTAGGCCTCTGATGCAGAAAGTTAACATAATATAATTAAAATATTATTACAACAGTTGTTTGCTTTACTAAATTTTTGCTATTTATCCTCTCAGTTGGAGATTCCAAACTTTTCTCTACAATAAAAAAAATCTTTATTTTTATGGTCTAGAAACTTTTCCTATCTTTTGAATGAGACTCTTGTTCAGTGGTGTGATTGCTGTGGATTCCAGTAGCTAGGTTTTAAGCAAGAAGTCACCTGAATCTTCTGAGAAACCTGGAAGAGTTGTCAGTACTGTTTCTTTTGCCAGCAAACATAAAAAAAGGGCCTAACATGAAAAGGGTGCTGCTGTGAGTTGCCTGCTTTTTTTCCACAATGCAAGCAGAATGGAGATGGGATTTGGGGGGTTTAACTGTGCTTTCGTATTAAATTCCTAAAGATGAATAAGTTAGAGTATTCCTAAAGATGTATCTCAGTGTATTACCCTAGCATACAAAGAGGAAGGACATGAACAAGCACTAACATTGTCTGCACCCAAAACATTCTTTATTGTAAGAAGTAAAAAGAAAATTTAAGAAGGAAAAAAAAAAAAGAAAAAAATCATCCAGTATTTTACAAGAAACTCAAAATCTTATATACAATTTATTGGATTTTGAGCTTCTTGGTGTCACTTACACAGAGGAAAAACACAATATATTATTTTTGAAGATTCAGACAAGTATTTGAGTAAACTAAAGTTTTTAAAGTAGTATCATATATAAAACTCTCATTACTTCGTTAAAAACTGTCGGAATTGTAAGGTTTGACATTTTAAATAACAAGCCAATTGGCAGAGGAAAACTGAAAGCTAAGAGAAGAAACCAGCTAGAAAATGTCAGAAGTGAAAAACAGCTTTGTTTTCTTTCCATGTTCAGATGTATCACAAAAGGAAAAGCATTTAAATTATTCTGCGATGAATTGAGCACATCCATCATGAAGTTTTAATCATGCATCTGTATGAGAGCCTGGAATTGGCACAAGGTTAAGGGACTGTCCCAGCTCTCACAATGCAAGCATCCTGCAGCATTGTTCAGTGCCAGTGCTCCTTTTACCCTGACTGCTTTCTCTGTTGGAGCAGGGTGAAGAAGGTCTCCAGGACGTTTTGAGAATTTTGCAGGATGAGTTTCGTTTGTCGATGGCCTTGGCCGGTAGGTATTTTGCAGGTTGTTTGCAATGGGTGATACAGAGGTATCTTCATGCAAGCCATGTAAAATCAGAAGTCTGATTGGATGGGTCACAAAAAGGGAATCCACCTGAGCTGTGCCAGTTCTAGTTGCTATGCTTAAGGTGATTCTTTGTTTCCTAGAAAACCACTTGGCATTTCAGGTGTCACAGCAATGGCACTTGCAAGGAGGAAGTAGGTTAAAGCAGCTTTGTGACCCAGCTAAAGAGATACAAAATTGCTAAGCAAAGCTGAGCAAAACTTGCAATTTCTGTTGTGCTGGGAATGGCAGCATACGTTTTTCAGTATTTAACATAGTGTTTATCAGGGCAAAATGGAACCAATTCTTTTCTGCATGAAAAGTTCATTAAAAATGGATGCAGAATTTTTCTCTGCATATTGGAGAATACAGCCTGTTGGTGCAGGTTCAAATCTCTGCATTCTACATTCCTTAAAAGCCTTCATGTCTCCTCCAAGCTTTTACTTTTGTTCCTCATTCTCATTTCTCACTGTTGCTCCCAACTGTAGCTGCCATGTTTGATCCCCTCACTGACAGCAAACTTGCAGAGCCCAGTGCAAACTCGTTTCACATATGAACAAGAGGGTGGTTGAGCACTGGAACAGGCTCCCCAGGGAAGTCTCAGCACCAAACCTGCCAGAGTTCAAGAAGCATTTGGACAATGTTCTCAGGTACATGGTGTGATTCGTGGGGCTGTCCTATGCAGGGCCAGAAGATGGACTTCCATGATCCTTGTGGGCTACTTCCAACTCAGGATATTCTATAATACTAAGCATGACATGCAGATCCAGTGCAGGAGTCTTCACACATCAGCAAAGGATCTTATTAAAGATTTTCATGCTCTAGCAACCATGAACTCAAGCGGATAACAATGCTGACTAGGAGACTGGAACTGAAATCCTGCTGGCATGGTTGGTTTTACACATCACTTTTTCAACTAGCAAAGATTCCTACACAGTAGGTTTGTTGGTTTTGTGGGGTTTTTGTTTTTTGTTTTTCCAGCAGGCTCTTACACTTTACATGCAAAAGGGCACTGGAATCAGCAAGAGTAGCAAGTTGGGATCTTTTTAGTGGAAGTGTGAAACTCATAGAATCATATCATCTTTTAGGTTGGAAAAGACCTGTAAGACCATCAAGGTCAACTCTTAACCCAGCACTGCAAATCCACCATGAAACCATGTCCCTAAGCACCACATCTCCATGTCTTTTAAATACCTACAGGGATGGTGACTTAACTACTTTCCTGGACAGCCTCATCTAATGCTTGATAACCCTTCATGTGAAGAAATTTTTCCTAATATCCAACCTAAATCTCTCCTGAACACAGGATTCAAAGTGCAGCCTCATCAGTGCCCCATACAGGGGGATGATCACTGCCCAGGTCATGCTGGCCACATTATTTCTGTTATAGGCCAGGTTGCTATTGGCCTTTGTAGCCACCTGGGCACACTGTTGGCTCATGTCCAGCTGGGTGCTGACCAGAATCCCTCTTCCACCCATTTTTGACCAGATGAAATGCCAGTGCAAATCTCCACCTCCCGTCACTTGGCACCCAGCAATCCCTGTATCTTTTCTGTCTACCTTTTCTCTGCTGACTGGATAGGATAACACCCTGCTCAGCTTGTTGTAAGGATCATTTTTTTTTCATGTTTCTAACTCTACTTGTGTGGGAAGTCTGGTGCCTAACCTCAAGGCTGAAGATGCCATTGAGGAGTAGAACTACTGAAGTATCAACCTATCCCAACCCAGCTCATACAAGACAAGACTGTAATTCAGAGAGGGGGGCTTCCAAGCTTCATCCACAAACCTTTCTTTCTCACTGTTGTTTCATGTATTTCAGGCTGTGCCAGAGTCTCAGAGATTGGCCGACACCTGGTTCAGTTGTCCAAGCTGTGAACAGCCTCCTGCAACGCCCACCAAACAGAGGCAGCTCAAGCTGAGGTCCCAACCAGAGTGAAGACAGAAAAAGAAGGAGCAATAAGTATATGATAAGGCCTTCAGGAAACCTCTGAGGAGATTAGGAAAGTCTCCGTGTTAGCAAAGGCTGTGCTCTGCTTTTATTGAGACCAATGAATTCCTTAGCAGTTCGAGTAATTTTTACTTGCTTAAATACATTTGCTTTAAACTGGCTGTTCCATGTCATTACCTATGTTGGGCCTTACTCCCGAGTTCTATTACATTGGACATCCACACAAGGAAAACTATGTGCCTTGCTTTTTCCACTTGATTGTCCTACCAAGTTTGACTGCAACTCAGTCACACTTTCCTACTCTGGCATAATAAGTGTTGTGGCCAATATTTTTCATAGTTTGGGAAAATAGGTAGTGAGGGGCTCATTCACGAAAATGAGCTCCTCTGTCTCCCTAGTAGCTGACAATCAAGAGCTTTGCTCCTTGTTCTATACTCCCATTTACTGAAAGAAATCTCTTTTGTCTGGAGAAATCCAGGTGGTGAAAGATCATCCATTTCTTACCAGCATTTCAGTGAGACACCTTTCACTTGCAGTCAGACTCTCTCAGTGTTCCATGCATGCAGCCAGTCTGATGGTTTGCTCATGCTGCTCCTCACAGCAGTCTGTGTTCCTTGGAGCTGAGGTAGTGCTCAAGACTGCTCTGCTGAGGCAGGAGAATCATTAATTTCAGGCTCCAGAGTCTCAGCTTTCATTTAAAGCCAACAAAATCAAGATGGTGGAATGCATGCCATTGTTACAATTGTGAAGAAAATCTTTAAGGGAGGAAAGCCATCTTAAGAAATTCAGAGAGTCTGTTGGAGCTGAAACAGTAGTGATGGAAGTTGTCTGCACTGCTGAGCTGACTTCAGGTGGCTTCATTTACACTATTATTGAGTACATGAGATCAAAATCTGTTTTAAAGGAAAGACACTGTAACATAATGAAAATAAAAGCACCGTGGGTTTTTTTTGTGATTGCCTTCTCTGTTTTTCCCATGACACTGAAGTTGGGGGATGAAGGATAGGAGGTGGAGCAGGTGGAGCTGAAGGATGTGTATGGCTACCCTACTAAGGTAGCCATAGAAACAGCAGCCTTTGATCAAGCTGTTCTATAAGTTTGGTGTATAAGATAGCATAAACATCTTAAACCAGAAATGTTTGCAGAGGCCACTAATTTGCAAATCCTGTGATCTGGACGTCTAGTGGAGTACCTTTGGAGCCATATTTGAACAGGTATGGAGCACTTGGAAGTGAAATGAAGATTAGCAGGGGTCTAGGACTGCAGGCATTCACAGAGCTGAAATACCTTCTTCTCTAATCCTGCCTCTTGCTATTGGCCTTTAAAGCCATATGAATTTTCTATCTGGTTTTTCAAACTATGTAATTATATAGAATATCCTCCTAGCCTGTTTTCCCCTTTCAGATCAGCATGTATTCCAAAACTGAGGCAATGCCTGCAGGCTTGAATAGTTCTGCGTGCCCTGCCATAGAGCAAGGGTAAGGGAAGATTTTGCTGGTCAGGTTTGTGTAAGTATCATGCCTCAGGAATCAATAACGAAGGGGAATCCCTATAGAATTGGGCATGTGCATCTTGTGGGCAAACGGTAAATCTGCTCTTCAGCTGAAGTTTTGAGGGTGAGCCTGCAGCAGAGTACCACTTCTGGGACAAAGAGCCAGCTCTCAGTGGTTCAGACACCCTACCACAGACTGCTTTGCAGCTGGCAAATATCTCAGTGCCCACTTCACTGACATGGCCAGGGGGAACCATGCTATCAAAAAGCAACCTTCTGCATAAACCCTACTTTAAATTGTCCCTAAGAAGACAGAAGAAAGAAGCTAGCCCTGTTAGCTCACTCTGTTTAGACTTTAATTTCTCTCAGAGATAACAGTGTCTGCACTGATCTTCCAGAGGCCTTCACATGGAGGCCTTCCTCTCTGTTCCAGTAACAATAAACCTTGTCAGCAGACTGACAGCCTGCCAGATAAGACTCAGGAATTACAGCACATTGCACATGTTGATGGACTTCAAGGATGTACAACACGAGAATGAGACAACTGGGAGTACTCAGTCCTGAGAAGGCTAAAGGCAGATGGGGGATCACATTGCTGTCTTTTACTACTCATTTGGAGAAAATCCAGCCCAACTTCTGGGATGTGAACAGTAAAAGGGTGAAAGATAATGAGGAAAATTCCAGGTAGAAATCAGTGGGAAAAAAATTCACCATGGGGGGGGGGTGTCAAATCCTGTAACAGAGGGTTTGTGAAACCTCCATCCTTAGAGGTATTTTGAGATTGACTGGGCAAGGTCCAGAGCAACCTTGTCTGATCTGATGCTGCTTTAAGAAGAGGTTGGGACAGAGACCTCCCGAGGCTCCTTTTAATCAAAATTGTCGGGGGATATCACAGAATCATAAAATGAGAGCCGCACATGAGATCTGTACTGTGTTTTACCACTGTGCTGCCATGATCAACTACCATGCAGCTGCAGAGGCAGCCATGTATCTCTGTGAAAGAGGCTGCAGAAAGCATTTTCTGAGGGAAAAAGAAAGGTATTTGGTGGGTGAGCTTAAAAATAAGAGCTCACAGGGTTTGACTAGGCTGAGAGACTATTTAAAAAGTCCATCCTACAGCTATTCCAAGACTTCGGAAATCTTCCATGATCCATGCCAATGTGTACCAAAGTCTCATGCCTTCTTGTCTGCACTCTGTTCTGCTTTCTGTATTTGATTGTTGTGAATATCTCTGATACAAATTCAAGCAAGGTTAAATCTTTCAAAAAAACTTTGCCCAAATATTGTAAATTTGTCGGTTAAGGACTAATCAAACTCTGCTGTTTCACAGCATCCCTGGAGGATGTAGCAGGTACAGGGAGTCAGTGTATTTACAAGGGTAGTTTATCTACAAAATGGATCCAAATATACACATTTTCCTTTGTCATATGGTGCAATTTTCTCCAGCCTTTAAATATATAATTCAATTCTTCATTTCAGCTGAGGAAACAGTTCTTCCTAAAACAAAAGGGAAAAGGAGACTAAATGTTTGTTTCTAGTTAATTGCCCAACTCATATGCTGTCCAATATAGCAAAGACTACAACAAGTAAGTCTCTTTGATTTTGGAGATCATGTAAGAAACATTTACAATCACTTTCTCCCTTCTACTGGAAGAACTTTGGTACTACTGAAATAGGAGATATTTTCTTTTTCAGATTTGAACACACAGAAACATTGAGGTCTCTTAAGGTGGTTATCTTCATACCTCGATTAAAGTGTCTTATAACTGTTCCCCACTATGAAAAGTTGAATTTATTCAGACTTTGATTCAGGACAGATGCCCAAAAGTTAATTATTTAAATTTTATTCCCTCTTGTCAATGTGTAACCAGAAGAGAGAGGAAAATGTTTCCAAGAGGGAACAGTGTCTCTCACTCTGAAGGCCAGAAGCTTTCCTTGAGTAAATCTACATCTGAGAGTACAGTCTCTTTCCCAGAGCTGCCAGCATCTAGGCATTTTGAGCTTACAGGTATATGGTTGTAAGAAACACATTAATTTTTCACATGAAAAGTACTGTGCATTTGTGTGTGGGGGGGGGGGAGGGTTTGTTCTGATTAGACAGAAAAAGGTCCAGTTAAACAATGACCATGCCTTTGCTTTTCCCTGCTTCAATTCTCATCAGTCCAGGCAACAGGGCAGACTTCAGAAAACCCTCTCCTAAATTAGAAAAGATCTGTTCTTCTCTTCTTGATCATGGATAGCTTCTTTTTCCTGATAGCACATTTAAACACTATTGCCCTCTGTAAAAGTACAGTTTATCCTATCTAAAACTTCTGTGCTGCAATGTTATTGCATTTAGTCACTCCAGTACCATCATACAGTTTGTTCTCAATGCTGTTGGGAATTTTCCCTTCACTATTTCTCGTTCTGTCTTCTCCTCTCCACTACACTCTCTCCCAATACCTTTTTCTCCTTTTGACAAGGCTAAGAAAATGCATTCTCTAACACCTGACAGCCACTGCTCCAAAGTATCTGTCACACTAAGCACCAATAAAGTCAGAGGATCAACAGCATTCCTGGACCAGAGATTAGGGACACAGCTGTGATGGGACATGGTAGATTGCACATATACAAAGATATCCATGTATAGCAATTCTCCAACACACGCAAAATTGACAGGCTCTGATTTTCTAAAAATCCATTTTAAAAGTCCATTCTACAGCAAAATATCAGATTTTGGTGGCTTTGTTTTACAATGACGTCAAAGAGAAGACATCAACATAGTTAAAAAATGACTATGCCTTGACACAGAATATAGCATTGCTAAACTTTTTTAGATGCTGCTGAATCATGTTTTAGTCTGCAAATCCCATACCTGTGCAATAACTCAGAATTTCATCAAGCTGTTTCTTGGTGGTCATGGGTCTGGTGGACTCTGGCCTTGTTGCTCATTGACACTGTTCTGGGGTGTACAGCCCATTCCAGCATTTGCCTCTGTGCCCCTTCGGGAACACCAAAGCCAGCCTTGTCTGCAGCACAGAGGAGCTGTCATGCCACCCAGCAACCCCACACAGCAATGTCAACAAGAACCAAATGTGAAAATGTTGGCTCTAGATGAGACTGCAGGAAGCACCAGCAGGTCTGAGTGTGAACTGAGCAAAACTACTGCTGTCTGACCACTGACATTCACAAATGGCATTTCAGATGAAGGCTGCTATGCAGTGTTGTATAAAATTACCTCAAACTAAGCCAAGCATTTGGCTGAGTAGTACCTAAGAGGACAAAATCTCCCTGCAGTCCCCTATGCAGCACTCATTCTCATATAAGCACTACCCCTGCTAAACTTGGTCATTCTAATAGGCAAGCTTAGTGTAGGAGAGTGTTTTCTATCTTAAGAGGCTATGATGTGTTGTCTGGTTTTATAATGCCTCTTTAAGGCATTTTTTTTCTTTCCTAAAAGTAAAAAGAAAGCCCTGTTACAGAGAACATCACTTGCAGCAGCAGGCTTTGACCAGTTATTTTGCCTTGCAAAGTGCACAAAACTAATTTGCAGCAGCTTCTGATAAGAACATACAATGTCAAGGTCCTGCCTGTGAAAAGCCAAGGAAAGAAGCACTGATAACAATTTTTTTAAAGATTTGTTAGTGTAAGGAAAGGATTTTCAAGGATGCTAGAATTGAAACAGTTGCCAAAACTTTGTCATCTGTGTCAGCTAGAAACCTTTCTCCTCCAACATAAATGGTTTTGCTCTCCTCCTGTCCCTTGTAGGCCCAGTTTTGCTCTAAAAAAATAACAGTGTGGGGATGCTTCTTCTATAGCTTTTCTCCAGGGTTCTCTTTAATGAGTGAACAAAATCTATGATAGAATAAAAAAGGGAGCTTAGCAGTTAGTCATGTGAATGGAAGCAAAACATTTTTAGATATCCATTCCAGCTGTGCCCAAAATCAGTGATCCATTTTCCGGTGATTTCAGCCTAATTAATTGTGTTTCTGGGCTTCTTCATAGCTTCCTTATCTCTTAAGGTAGCTACCTATTTATCATCTTGCTTCAACAGGGATGTCTGTCTATCCCTGCATGTGAGAGAGAGAAAATACAGTTGCAGCCAGCATGTCTTGACAGACCCAGGAAGGTAGTGCAGGTATTAGGAGCTTCAGGCTAATGCCTAAGCCCTGCTCTGGTCTCAAACTAGAAAACAGTTTTGCTAGAACTGGAGAAGTGGGAAATACCTGGGCCTTTTCCCTGTGCTTTGGACATGTAAACAAGTAACAACGGAACTCACTGTAGAGGAACAAACAGCCTTGTTTTAATTAGGTACACTCACCAGACATTTCCAGAGGTGAATCTTTCTCTCCCGCAGCTTTAATTTGTCTTTGACGGTACATTAAACCATTTCATCACCTTGAATGCCTGTAGTATACGAAATGTATTTACAAACACAAAATCCCAGAGGTTAGTTTTTGATTTTGCAGAGTGAGGAGCCTATGCTATAACAGGGAAGCACACTATCCAAAAAATAGAGTCTGCTCCTCAAACTACTCTAAATAGCTACTCCTGCTATTTACATTTTATTTTAATGCTCCCTACCCCCATGTTGACACTGTATTACACAAGAAGGTGAAGAGAGAATTATCAGCATGAGGGTTTACTCTCCCAGAATTTAGGGCTGTAGGACCACATCTAGGCTTAGACCTCACTGCATCCAGAGCTCTCCTCTTTGTGAGGGGGGGTGGTGGTGGTATGGAAGCATCACATTCTTTTGCAGCAAAGGAGGCACTCAAGAGGGAGGGGGAGCAAAATGACTGAGGTAGTGCTCTGCAGTGTATAAATACAGGCAAATCTCCCCCACAGTCTTCTGAGTGTTAGAGAGGTGGAACCGAGGACTGAGGCAGATTTTTGTGGGGTTTGTTTGGCACTGAAGTTGATTTTGAGCATTTTCTGATTTGTTAATTTAATTCACTTACAGTATTTTTAAAGTATTTTTCCTTTGCATGAAAAAAATCTGTAAGCTACTTCTGAATAGCAATAGCTAGCAAAAGTGAGACATGCTTAAAATATTGTTGCTTATTGTGGAGATTAGAGTTTGTCTTTCATTAGTCTCTCTTTCTGGTAACATCCTTTGATTTGTAAAGACTCCAGAGGTTGATGTCATATGTTCATTCCCTCAGGCAGGAGGTGAACCAGCCTGCCTAAGCTCAAGAGACAGCCAGTTTGACACCAAGGAGCAACGAAGAGCAATGTCCCTGGCTGGCGTAAGCTGTCTGGTGACAGGAGCAGGAGGATTTCTTGGCCGGAGGATTGTCCGCTTGCTTTTGGAAGAAGAGGAGGCTCTGGCTGAGATCAGACTGCTGGACAAAGCCTTTAGTGAGGAAGCACTCAGCAGATTTGAAAGTAAGTATCATTTAATGAGGACTGTGTGTTGCAGGTATGTGTGTTGCTGTCTCATGTGGATAGCTTGGAAGTCTTATCCTTTCCTTCAAACCAGCTTTGCAGATAGAGGTTTTATTTCAAGGAAGTCTTGCTTTATCCCTCCCTCTCCCTCCAGTTCAGAAATCAGATGTAAAATGAAAATAAATGTTTTCCTTCTCAGGCTCTGAGGCTTCTCTAGATTGGGAGAGAGAGACTGTTCATTCAGTAAACACACTGTCTTCAACCTGGCCTCTATTACAACAAAACCCACAGAGCAAAATTAATGTAAAAATCTCACTCTTTGGCTCAGGGGAAAGGAAAACACAAGCTTTGCTATACTGGGCAGGAGGGTACTGTTATCCGGATCATGCTGTGCTGGGCTCTGATGTGCCAGACTAGAATGCAGTGACAAAGTTGTGGGTGCAAATTCTAACGGTTTTCTTCAACCTTTGGTTAGTTTGGTTAATAATGATCTTCTGACGGAGAGTTGTGAGGAGGTATTTTAAAAATTGTTGTTATTAACATTACCATGGTTTCCTGGGGAGCAGAACACTTGTGCTAAGCGCAGAAGAGACAGGACCCCTTTGCAAAGTGCAAGGCAGGACTCTGGCTTCTTGAATGGATTGGAGACAGCACAAATGAGTGTATGCCCAGTATTAGAAACAGTCTGTGGCAGGGAAAGCAGCTCAGAGCATTGTTTTAAATGTCCCATTTCCTGAGATACTGAGCACATCTATAAAAAGGCACAGAGGGACCAAAATTCAATAAAGATCACAAGTCCTTACATTACATTTCCTTATTAATGCTTTCCTCTGTCGCATCTTCACCTCAGGACTCTTCTTTTTCTACACAGGCAGCTATATGTGAACCCTTTTGGAATATCTCCATATGATTTGCTAGATGCCTCTGAGCCTTGCAGCAGCCCTTCCTACTCTGATTTTCAGAGCATTTCCACAGAGACAAAACCTGCAATTGTAGTAGAGGCCAAGGAAGCCAGAGTGTGTGTAGTTTAGCACTGATGCAGCAGGACAGCAACAGAGGCATCTGCAGTGCTTTGGGCCAGAAGAGCTTTGTGAGGACAATCCTAGGAAGTGAAAACAATTGTTTGTGTGGGCACAATCTTGGCTGAGCTGCAGCAAAGGTTTCCCTGGTTTTTTTTCTTTTTTTGTTAATAGGCAAGCTTTCTGCCCTCTTTTCTTATCCTCCCTTCTTCCTCCACTGAGCACTGCCCACACCCCCCCCTTACTCTTTTGACATTCCTGCTGCCCATCTGACCAGCACAGGAGATAGAGAAAAATCAATTACCATAAACTGGTAGTAGGAACCACGGGCTGGCATTCCAGATGTGCTTAAACAGACTTGAACCGCTGCACTTTGACTGGTAGTTCCTTTGTCTGGATCAGTCCTTGTGGCTACATCTCCTCAAGTGTTCTACCAGAGCCTGGGATCGGGACTACCTGAAATATTGCCCTGCCATTCCCTTTCAAGCTCTTCTCTATCGCAGTGACTCATTCCAAGTGCAGGGCTGCTACAAAACCTGTAGGGCTGGAGTCTTCTGACCTGCATTACTTTTACTGTGGAGGCTTTTACTTGCTAGCAGATGTTATCTGGATTTCTTGAATACCCAAGAGCAGAGCTGAGTGTGTTTTTTTCTCACTAATCTCTTGAGCACCTTGAACTTGCAATCTCTTTGCAGAGTCAGGGCAGAGACAGAATAATATGTGCAAGTTACAGCTCCTTGTGCCAGGAGACACTCAGGGACACTCCTCTTTTGTCCAAATAACATTCCTGCTGAGACCTTGACCACTGCATTCAGCCTGTGTAGAACAGTGGCATTAGTGTTCTTCCCCAGCCCTGAGGAGTTCAGGATGATCCAATTAATGTCAAGTGCTGTGAGCTGGAGTCTATCCAGTGACATTGTGTGGCTGAGAATGAACGTCAGGTTGAACACAGTAGTTCAGTGCCTTGGGTTTCCTACATCCCATCCCCACTTCAGATTTATCTTTCTGCCTTTCCTCTGCTTCCACTTAACACAATTCTCTTTTTGCTCACTACTGCATTGGCACTTCTGGCAAAGTTAGAACTCCAGTGTTGTTCTCAAGAGGATTTCTCACTTGTCCTTGTCTCACCCCTCTGCACATCTCTTCCCTCCTTTCCTGAACCCTCTTTTCATGTCATTTTTCAGAGACACATTTATAGGTTGTGTGATGCTTGAGCATTGAATGGTTTTGCACTGCTAACCCAATACTGATCCAAAACAGAAGAAAAGTAAAGGGAGAAGGAATGTGAGGGTTTTTTTCCAGGACTCTTTCTGAGGAAAAATTGCTATCTTTTTGCTCAACCTTGCAAACATTAATTTGCCTTTATCAGGGCATTCAAAACAGAAAGGCAGTGTGGAAACAAGTAGCTGAACATCCAAGTAGTTGAAAGGGGGACAGAATAAACATTTCAGCTTCTCTGGGCTAAAGAAGCAAATAAATTGCTTTACTCTTTACAAATTAAAATAAGACGCAATTTTAAATTTTCTCCCATGAATACAAAAAGTAGACCATTTTAATGAACCATCCAGTTAATCAGGAAAATGGAGAGCTCTCATGAGGAATGCCTTCCCCCACGCTTCACCTCACAGATGTTAGGTCCTGTCTAAAAGAACACTAAGAAATTCAAGCTAAGAAGTCCCACAGACACTGCTGTTTGCCTGAACTTTAACTAACACATAGAAAAAAGAAAGACAGTTTAGGGCAAATAGTCTGACTAGATCGCTGAGTCAAACACTGCTCACAACAGGACACTGAATTTTATTGAGAAATCATTATATTTCCAAGCAAAAAATACCCCATAGCAAGCAGAGAGTTTGCTTACAACTCACAGGACACAGAAACCACTGGTGAAGTAGAAAAGGCTTTCCCAGTGGGTAGGTACTTTCTTGTAATTGCTTTATACAAAAATAGAGAGCCGAGTTGAATTTATTCTGTTCCTTTCTCTTTGATCTGACACACACATGCTTTTTTGATGCCTGGGGGCAATGGTTTGTGCAGATGGAAATCAAGTTTCTCTCTGCTATCCACCTCAGACCTTGTCTGTCAGTCATTTTTGGCTTCCTCTCTCTGCTTCCAAGTTCACCTGTAGTTTTCTCTTCACCCAGAGCAAAACAAGATCAATCTGTTGATCCCTGACATGTAGCTGATGCTGCTAAAATGAACAAGGCCCACTTACTGTGGCAATTTCTGCTGGCTAAAATCAAATAGAGAAGCCGACTTCCCAATTCACATCACACACACAGACTGCAAGCCCAAGCAAGGCACAAAGCAGCTAGACAGCAGCTCCCTAGTGACTGGTACCAAGTATCCCTGCCATCAGCTTTAAAAGGGACAGGCTTCTTCTGTACTTTTCCTGAAAGCTTTAATTTGCATGTGTAAAAACTTCTATTTTCCTAACTCCTGCCTGGGCACTGTGATGACTTTGAGAAGGTGACATGTCAGAATTTATGTTGTGAAAACTATTTATGTCTATTTTTGAAATTATTGCAACCCCATGAAACCTTTTTCATGGACAACATCAGCATAAAAGCTGTACAAAGGCAAATATTTATTAGAGAAATCTAACTACCAGGTGCATAACAAAACCCTAGTCCTCATCTGACACTTTTGCATCCATATGAGTAGACTTCAGTATAAACCTTCTGGAAATGGAGTCTTAGAAAATGAATGCACTCTGTAAAATAAAGGAGCAGAAGAGAGCATGTGATAATGATTGTGCTGGGAGGACAGTGACTCTAGATTTAGTAACAGTTCTGCAAATGTTTCACGAGTCTTACATATCAGACAAACTTCTGTGATGAAAAAAAGCTCCTCAAGCCTGTTGCATCAGAATAATTGTTAAATCAATGCAGGATTACATTTCAGCATGCTACATAGTGAGGTAAAATCATTTTAAAAAATATTCCCACTCAGCTCCAGGTCCCAACAGCTACCTCTCTCAGTGTTTCATAATAAAGACATGGGATGAAATATTGCTTGCTTTGGAGATGGTGATGCACAAGATTTCAGACATGGCTGAGGCTAAAAGCTGTACAAATTGATCAGGTTCTTCTCTTATCTAAAAGGGGCATTTGATTATGGAGTAAGACAGAGGATCTGCCTGTGCTGCAGAGTCCTTCCCCAGCAGCTGCACCTGGGGAGCCATCTAGTGCAGCCACAGCAGAGTCTCTGAGAAAACCCACTGTAATGACACCACCTCCTTAAAAGTTGTGGGTCATGCTGAGAAAGTCCTCTCCTCTCCCATGGCATTGCTGCAGCCAGGCCAGTTGAATTCCCAGGAAAGCAGCATTGGCTCAGACTGTAAATGTCTCCAAGTGATCATCTTGTGCTGGCTCATTTGTTGGTGTAGTTCTGGACTGTAGAAAAGATGCTTCTGTCCAGCACAACATAGGGCAAGGATGGCTCTGAGACCTAGAGCTTCACACACATTAGCTGCTGTGAAGGGAGAGGGCTTAAAAATCAGGAGTTAAAGCAAGCCAGGTCTGAGGTAGCTCAGAACAGTCTTGAGAGTTCAGATAAGATGTGCATGCTAAAAATGACTCCACAGCACAGATGTTGAAATGGAGCCAGAGCTGGAGCTAGAAAAAGCACAATAAGTCCTGGTGAATGTACAAGAAAAAGATGTGTCAGAACTGTATGTAATGTACTAGAAGAGCTGCAATATGGGTAAGGTCAAGGGGAAGAAAGTAGGTGTGAACACATTTCTATGCTCACATGCTGTGGGTGGAGAGAGATCATTCATCACCTTGAAGACAGGAGCATGTAGTGCCTGGCTTGGGTTAACACATCTATAGCCACACAGTCTTCAGGACATGGGTAGCCGAAGCTACTCCCCTGTGAACTTCAAAATAGTCACACCTGAAGGAAGCTTGCTATCAGTGGAAAATATTTCTCTTTAAATATAAAAAAGAAAGAATTGTGTTGAATATTGGCTCCAAATATGTGGTAGGTAATGCAACACAGACCTTTATAGCACTGCCATTAGCACTTGAAAATACAGTCATTGGAAAATGCCTTCTGTTCCACCAGCCTTAAAATATCATTCCTGTGCTGGGACTGTCAGCACCTGTCAGCCGGGGTCAGTGCTTCACCACTCCTTTCAGTCTCTTCTTAGGATGCCTGTAAACTCTTTTGCTTCATTTTCTGCTGCTCTTGCAGAGTTCAAGGGTAAGACTGAGGTGAAAATCCTGGAAGGGGACATCCGAGATGTGACATTCCTGCACCGTGCCTGTCAGGGGGTCTCCCTCGTCATCCACACGGCTTCCCTCATTGACACTCTGGGCCTCATAGAGAAGCAGTTGCTCTGGGAAGTCAATGTAACAGGTGAGCAGGTGAAGCAACTTTCTCAAACCTGTGTCTACTATGGCCTGATCACCATCTGCTCAGGAAAGGGAGCACCTGACGTGTGTTTACCTTGAGCCAAGCTAACTGTGTTGTTCTGCATCTTGCACAGGCATACCTAAGAGTGCAAAGCGTGCATACATGCAGCCCTATGCAGCTCTGGGCCTCTCCACACCCAGTCTCCCACTGCAGGGTACTGCTGGATTGTTCACTCTTGGCAACACTTACGTATGCCCATCCTGAGATCTGCACAGGCTCTGCCTTCAGTGGCTATAGTCACAAACCCAGGTTCAGTGGAACTTTCTGAAATCAATTCACCTCTGAAATCCCAATGCCCATCTCAGAAATCAGTTCTTATTCTCCCTCTCCACATAGCATCCCTGCCTGTGTATGTTTTTCAGTTTTTACAAACACTGCAGTTACAGCAATGTTGCATCGATAACATCCCAGAGCCTGTGGCTCTTTGCTTCCTATTCTTTTTCTTCTTCCTTTTCTTCTTTTCCTTCCATTTGCCATAAGGTCTAGGTGTGCAAGAAGGCAGTTGAGAGGAACAAGGGCTCTCCCACCTTGAGCTTATAATTAAAAATTCCCCAACAAACTCAAAGCTATGGGAGGGAGGGGTTTCAGTGACTCCTTGATGGGGTCTCCCCTTCTACTGAGGAACCCCTATTCTTCCAGAAAAGATCAGAAGAAGGGGAAGTTTTTGGCTTAGGAATGGCCTGTGTAGCATCAGTTGCCAGGAAATTTAAATGTATTTCCTAAAAGAACAACTTCACTCCCCTTCCTGTGATGCCAAAATTCTCTATGCCTTTCAGAGAACTGGTACTGCCCAACCTGTATGCATGCTGAACCTCCCTGGTTGCGTTGCTTCAGCAACCTGGGGAAGATTTGGGGAAGATGTTCTTATTTACATGGATAGTTTGCCCAGTACTTTGTTCCTCTCTCCCACAGATACGGGACTTCTTCACAGAAAAATAAGGAACATACCTCTACAGACATCACTTTACAAATATTGGCTATTCACCAGTGTTCAGAGCAAGAGAGAATTCTCTGTAGTCGAGTTGTCCCTTACATGCACCTTAAAAAGAGTGAGATGGCATTTTAGTTGTTTTAGCCTGACTTATTGCCAGTATCTTCTGCTTCTGTAACCTTTCATTTCTGCTCAGTCAAAATCACAAATTGTCAGTGACCACAAATTAGAGCCCAGTGGGCAGCCTCTTAGGTCCCTGCCAGGAGGAAGAGCAGAGAGCCAAGTTCCTGGAAACCTGTGCATTGGGTAGTTTGAAAATATACAGGGTTGGTAGTTCAGAAAGAGGATTTGTAAAGCTCTGTCTTTATGACCCTACTGCTGCTGCAATGACTTTTTTCACAGCAGAATGTGTTGTCTAAATCCCTGGGAAAAAATAATAATAAAAAACCCCAGCAAAAAAATCAAACAAATATTAAAATGTCCCTAAACCAGAAAGCTTTGTAAGCTCTGAACCCCCTTCCCTACCCTGATGCCAACAGTGTCTGCCCATGGGTGAAAAAAGCCCACTAGTTGACCCAGTGAGGGTCAACTGATAACATTTGCTAGAATGAAAGCACGCACCAGTCCTGCTCCCAGAGCAAACTGACTCTAAGCTCAGTCAGTAAATACTGCTGGCCTCTTTTTCCTGTTTCCCTCCACTTTCACTCTGATGCTCTTCTGGCTTTCTCACCAGCCAAGGCACTGCTATGTACTTCATAGGCTTGGAGGACGAAAGTTTTGTTTCTCCTAGAAAATAGAACTTTTATAATACAAATGTTTCGAGAAATCAGACGTGGATGTTCACAAAACAGAACAGAAGCGGACAAGTTAAACTCGCCCTGATGCAGGGCTTTTCTCTGTGTCACATGCCACACAATGCCTCAGTGCAAAAATATCTTTTTAGGAAGGCAGGGAAGCTAATTTTTAAAAGGAAGGGAATAAAGAAACTAATGAAATATAATCTAAACAGGTTTGGTTTCATTTAATGTACTTCTCAGTTCAGGACAGGATTCTTCAAGCTGCAGAGAGGGGAGATCTGGCCAAGCTCAGGCCAGAGATGATGTTTATGATCTAAAAAGCCCTCTTTTTCCTACTTTGGGAGCTCTGGATTGACTTGCATGTTTCACTTTTGAAGGTACTCAGCTACTGCTGGAAGCATGTGTCCGCTGTAATGTCCAGCACTTCATATACACCAGTACCATAGAAGTGACAGGCCCAAACTGCAGAGGTGACCCAATTTTCAATGGTGACGAAGATACAGCTTATGAGAGCATATCGAAATTTCCTTATGCCCAAAGTAAGAGACTGGCAGAGGATTCTGTGCTGAAAGCAGATGGCCAGGTGCTAAAGGATGGTGGCACACTGATGACTTGTGCCCTGAGATCCATGTACATTTTTGGAGAAGGATGCCCGTTTCTTCAAGGTCATCTGGATAAGTGCCTGTTGAACCAAAATGTCTACCGGCGCTTCTCCAGGAAGGAGGCTTTGGTGAACCCTGTGTACGTGGGGAACATCGCCTGGGCACATGTGCAGGCGGCCAAAGCCCTGAGAGTCCCGCAGAAAGCCAAGCATGTCAGGGGGAAGTTCTACTACATCTCAGATGATACTCCTCACATGAGCTACGCAGACCTAAATTACGAGCTGACCAAGGACCTGGGGTTTGGAATCGAGCCCAAGCTCCCCATGCCTCTGACAATGTTGTATTACTTCTCACTGCTGCTGGAGATCGTGAGCTTCTTGCTCCGGCCCTTTGTCAGATACATCCCCTCCACCAACCGTCACCTGGTCACCCTCCTGAACACTCCATTCACCTTTTCTTATAGAAAAGCACAGAAGGATTTTGGCTATGTGCCCCGCTACACGTGGGAAGAGGCCAAGCAGTGTACTGGTGAGTGGATTGCCTCTGTGATCCCTCAGCGAAGGCTGTACTTGCAAAGCAATGCTGCCTAAGCCTTAAAGAGAAGCTGAAACCCAGCTAAACAAGTAGGCCTTGAGCTAGAGGAGAGCTGTGGAAGCAGCAGCAGTAGCAGATGACTACAAAGCATTTAAATGAATACTTTGTGTAATAGGCCACTGCCCCACCCCCACCCCCACCCTCAGAATAAATAAAAGTGAAATGTTCGTTTGCTTATCAAATACAGGCTAATGAGGGTAACTTTACTGTGTAGTCCACACACACTTCTACATCTTTGAAGCACGAAGATTTACTTTAATAGGATTCCACAAAATCCACAGTATGAACACATAAACCCTTCTTTCACTCCAAGCCACCTTTTCCACCAAAGCACAACTTTCCCTAGAACTATGATTTCTCTTTACAAATATGTGCCACTCAGCTACACCCTATTCATTCAGTGCCGCTTGCCAACCTTACCAAACATGCAGCAGGCAGAAGCCGCCTGATTGCAAAAGCTGTTACAAATCTTGCTCACTTTTTTAAAAGTGTTGTGCCATTCACCTGACAGACAAACTTTGAGCCCTGTATGCATTGTGAGGCCAAAAGTGCAATGTAAGAGCAATACAGTTTCAGTAAGGACAGTGTGTGGAGGGAGAGAAGGGGGAGATTTGGTCAGGTGAATACTTCCTTGTAAATTCTCATTTTCCTAGTTACAAATTTTGCAATAAATCTGACGGGTGTCCAGCAAACAGCTTCAAGAAAATGAAAGGGAGAAAAATACTGCAGGACAGCCTTGGTCCTCTGCAGAGTCAGGGTATTTGTGAACACTGAGGAAAAGTAAACAGTGCTGAAAAAAAATCATGCTATCACCACGTTTCAGCTGGGAACAAAGACTAACCTTAGCATATAGGTGCACATGTGCTGTTCCCATTCTACTCTGATGGCCACATGAATTTCTCCAGAATGTGTAACTTGACTTTCAGGCCAAAAATGCAGATCTTGTCTGAACAAGCAGATGTCATCCAGTGTTTGTTTCTTCAGTCTATGTCTCACTTCTTGAAAACAACTCTAAGAGATGGGAATTTCTCTGTTCTGTTCAGGATGGTGTGAACAGAAACATTTTACCTGACTCAGTACTAATGTAAATAAATCACAATTCCAGAGATGCTGACAGCTCTAAGTCTGTGCTGAGTTTAATTATTCAGTGTCCTAGACATTGGATGTCATGTCAGTCATGTCATGTCATGTCATAGTCCCAGTGCAAATATTACTATTTGCTTTAGTAACATCTTTGGTTAACTGTGTAAGATCTGAAGTAGTACAATACCAGACACCATAACTTCCAGTCATATTCTGAGGACACAGAGATAAGTTTTCCAGTCTTCCATTGAAGGACTTGTAAACACTCAGCAAAATAGTACTACCCCTCTATGCACACCCTGTTTTGCTCCACTCCTCTCATGTATTTTTTCCCCTCCAATCTCCATTGAGCCCACTCTGTTTCCCTTCATTGTATGTCAAACTGTTGCTGAGGGGATAATCATTGCCCTCCATCTACTTACTGGCTATGCTCCGGTTGACATAGCTTAGGATACTGTCCCACCACCTTTGCTGCTGAAGCACAGTGCTCCCTCACATCCAGTTTGATGTCTACCAAGACTTCCAGATTTTTTCAGCAGAGCTTCCCCCAGTTAGTCAGCCCCAGCTCCAGCACACAACTTTGCATCAGTCCCTGTTGAATTCTGTCAGGTTTTTGTGGGCCTATTCCTCCAGCCCACATTGTAGCTCTGAAAGGCAGCTTTGCCTTCAAGCCTGTCAGCTTTCCCCCACTTTGGTGTCATCTGCAATCCTGCCAAGAGCGCACTTCATTGCCTCCTTTTCTCACCAAAAGCCTCCTTTCTATTCACCTCTGTACATACTCTGCTCCCCTCTAGAACTCTTCATTTCTATTTCCATTTCCATTCCCCTCTGGGCCTCTCTGTTTGCAGTCTATGGGTCTCCAGTCACCACCACTCATACCCTGTTCCTTTCCAGTTGCCAGCTTTCACTCTGTTTCTGGGAAGAAGGCTCTGAGCTGGCCACAAGCCTCCAAAAGACTCTCAAGTACACAGAATTCACAGCCCTCTGAGTGCTACTAGTAAAGCTACAGGTCAGGTCTATGTATTTACATATACACAGTTGCCTCCAGGGTTGAATAAGGCTCTCAGGATTTATAAGACAAAACACTGCTGAAGATGGTTATCAAACACCGCTTAGAAAAGCAAAAAGATGTTTAACACGGTAACACCCATCGTTTTCCTAGGCTAATTATATTTCATCCTAATGTTCAGTGAGACCAAAGTGAGGGGTGCAGCCATGTGTCTGTCACTGAAGTAGGAGTAGAAAGGGCAATCCAGGCACACGGAAATAGAGCAGGAAAGGAAGGGAGAGAACAACAGAAGCAAAGCTGCTATTTAATAGGGTAAGGCACTTAGCACATCAAAGAGCTGGAATATTACAACATATACTAGAAAACTGGGACATCTTTCCCCAGGTTTAACTGAAGTCCTAAAATATCCACAGATGCTGCCAGAGAGAATAAAGGACAATTTTTCTTCTGCAGTTTAGTGACTTCTTTCCCAAATGCAAGCTCCCATCGCCAGAGTTTACTTTGCCATTTTTGCCTTCTCAGTAAGACAGTGGGACCTTTTAATGCCTCCAAGAGCCTTGCACCCAACAATCAGATTTATAAACGTAAATTCCTTCTTTGCTAAGCTTCTTTCCTATTTCTTGATACCACATCCCTTCCTTCAATTCCCATGACAAGCCACTCCTGCTGACAGGGTGCTTATTCCCCACTTATGTTCCTTCTCTAACACCCCCTCCCACCTCATCAGCAACGTATTCATATTATGACAGAGACCTTCTTCTCGCCTTTGTGATTTCTTCCTTCTTTTATTCACACCATAGAATTTATAATTGAATTTTTTTTTTAAAGGTGATGCACCAATGCTCATAGACTCATGGGAAATACTGTCCTGCTGTCCATTTCAGGTGAAATTTACAGTTCTACTTGAGGTGTGTCTTGTTTTTGAAACACTTCCCACACTCAGCACACATAAAGAGGTTTTCTCCTGTGTGGACTCACTAGTGTCTGTTGGGGTAAGTGCTTTGTTTGAAGCACTTCCCACATTGGGAACACACACAGGGCTTCTCAGCCATGTGGGTTTGGTGATGTTGGGTGAGTGCTGAGAAATCCCTGAAGCCTTTTCCACATTGCATGTATTTGAAGGAGGTTTCACCACTGTGAGTTTTTTTGGTGATTCCCCAAGTGAGAGTTTCACCTGAAGCTTTTCCCACATTCAAGACAAGAGTAGGGTTTTTCTCCTGTGTGTATTTTTCTGTGGGAGTCCAGTGGGAGCTAACCACTCGCTGCACATGAAGGGCTTCTCACCTGTGTGAGTTTTCTGGTGTTTAATCAAATCTATGCTCCGCCTGACACCCTTGTTACATTTGGGGCATTTGTGGGGTTTCTCTGTCTGGGATACCTCACACTGATGAAGATTTGATGTCTGACTCATGATTTTTGCACAATTCCTGTATCCAGAGTGATTGTCACCTATAGCATCTTCTGGGTGGAGAAGGATGACACTGAGGCCCTCAAGAGACTGTTCTAGATGAATGCCATCATCTTGTCTCTCCCCAGAGAGCTCTCTCTGGTGCATCTGTGGCATGTGCTGGTTCTTATAGGCCTCTACCTTGCTACATCTCTGGAAAGCATTATCTTCAGATGCCTCTGGCAATGCCTCATATTGTTTCACGTTCTCAGGATTGTCTGCCAGGGGACCTTCATCTTCATTCCCATTATTTACGTCCTGATCTTAATGAAGTCAGTGGGAGTGCTCAGCAAGAAAGCAATATAAGGACTTAAAGACTGTGAGCCTTTACTAAAGGCTAGTTTAAGGTCAGACTCATAGGGCAACACCTGTTCTTCACACAGGGATTCAGAATTGTTCCCATCCTTAATCTCTGATGACTAATGATACCCTGGACTTGCCTGCAAACTCAACAGAGAAGTGACTTTGTTGGCTTTATGTTACAAATGTACTGAATCACTTTGATATATTCCTTGCCTTTGGGGATGTTGGTGGGGAGATCCCTTCCCTGCCTTGAAAATGGCCATGCACAGCTCCTGCTCTCCTTCCATCTGGAGACCAACTGTGAATGAACCCTGAAGGAGACTTCAGAACAGCAGGAATTACCACCCAGACAACCACTCCATTGGGAGGATACTCTTCAACCTGCAGGCTGCCCTGCATTATCACTGCCCCATCCCTCATCCCACCACATAGTAAATTTGAGCTGTGCATATCCTGCATGGCAGACACAGTCCCCATGTTTGACAGGGACCAAGGCCCCAGGGGACGGAAGGCAGGGAGGAGGACCCTTTGTCTTGCCACCCAAGTGAAGTAAACTCTGCCCCACAGCAGTGGGGTGGGAGCGCAGCCTAAGGGGAACCAGCCTCCTGGGCGCTTCCCTCAGCTCCAGTGCTAACAGAGTGGGGAAAGCGCTTGAGAGAAGCCTCGATGTTGGGCCTGGACAGGAGGATGGTGGCTCCCTCCTGGCCCACTGGTCCTGCTGCTCCCCTCGGGGGCTGACGCAGGAAGCACTTCCCGGGGAGCTGCCAGGTCAGGGGGCTGGTGGTGCCCGGTGCCACAAGCAGCTGGTGGGTCAATGCCCCAGTATGAAATAAGACCTCGAGGTGAGGGCAAAACCCCAAACATGGTGAAGATACTTCAATTTGCAGAAAGGGCTCCCTGTGCTGAGCTTCTCGTAGCCCCCTGGTGCTGTATCCAGCTCCCTGTAGCACCTGCTGGTGCAAAACCTGCCTGACAGCAGGAAAGGAAGGAAAACATAAGGCCTACATTCTTTATTTTTAGTTGCGTTTTTGTGGTGTGGTGGGGATTTTTATGCCTTTAATTAATTCTTTGTTTTTTTCTTGGTGCTAGGGTGCAGGGAGGGCCGGCAGAAGGTGAAGTGGAGAGATGGATCCAAGCACCCATGCACTCTGAGCACTGTTGGGTTTGCATCTGTGTTATCTTTCACTTCAGGTGTCTGCTCAAAATAGTGGAGTGCCTGTAATAAAAAATACCGAAATCCTGAGGGAATGGGTACCTGTACACATTACCCTGCTGCTCAGCAGAGAGAGCCTGTGCATGCTGTTACCCAATAACAAACACAAGCCAATAAAGATATTCTGAGAAGGAGAACAGAAGGAGAACAGGCACACTCTCTGCAGAGTGGCTGATTTGCTGCACGCTTACACTTCACTCTACTTTGTAGCTGCTTGTTCATATACTCTTACACTTGGCAGGTTAGCAAAATGGCAACCAAAATGTACTTGATCGATAAGAGCCTTATTATTTTTAAGTTAGCTGACCAGTACCATTCATCTAATTTAATTAGTTTGTTTGGCAATCAGTAAAGCGAACTATTGGTTATCAACAAAGCTCCACTGTCAGCAGGGTAGCAGTCAGTAGAAATATTTTGCTTCTGTAAACACACTGGAAAAGAAAAAAAAGTTAAGGCTCCTTTGCTGGCAAGGTGTTTATTTACCTACAGGTATGCAGAAAAGGAAGAAGTAGCAAAGATATGGCAGCTACAAAGATATTACATGCTACAGACAAATTAATGACTTCTGGTTCCAGCAGGTGGAAAAAGCTAAGTTTAAAGACCACCATTTGCTGTTAAATAATTCGTCACTACAGAGGACAGAAAGTTTTGCTTGCTAAAAGGGAACAGGAACTAACTCTATTAATGTATATTTTTCATAAATTTAAGAATACTGAAGAAGTGCCAGAGGAACAGAAGCAAAAGTGGCTATCCTGTCAGTATCATAAATACCTGATTGACACTGGTATCATTAATATAGGCTATAGTCAATGGAGGGCAGTTGGATAGTAAATGTCAAATAGCATGTTTTTATGAAGAATTCATTTTGTCAGACAAGCGTGACACTGGTATTCTGAGTGCATTGCAGATTTCAAATAATGATAAAAGTTTTGATTTATTATTAGATGAAGTCTGATTTACATGTTTTCATTTTACATTATGACATTAAATAAATCAATATAGACTAAATTATAAAAATCACAGAATAAATGTTAACTTTCTCAACTATGATCTTTAAATCAAATCTGCATTTTAATTTTTTTTTTTAAAAAAGCTTTGACTCAATTCATAGGCTTGGTGCAGAAACACAATGTGAAACATTATGTATAGCCTCTGTTATGTAGGAAACCAAGAGCAACAATGATCTCTTTACCTGAAAAATCTGTTACTTATACATCTAGATATAACAGATTACAGCAGCTGTGAAGCTAATTTGGAAAGTGGGAGTACAGTAGGATACATTTCAAAAGACATCCTTGTTTCACCAATTCTTGTCATGACTCCTGTGGTCCCATATAATATTCTTCTCCCTCTCTAAAGCTCTCCATCTGCATCTCCATCTCAGTTCAAAAGCCACTGGAGAACCAGACTTCCGGTATGGCTGTGCAATGGATATTCTAGCCATACCACTGCTTGCTATTTCTAGAAGTTCCTCATTCAAATAACTAAACTTCTCATATTTCTTAAATAAGATGTGCCTCTCCAGTACTAGCAGCAAACACAGAATATTAAGTAGCTGAGGATTAATCCATGAAAGGGAAAAGGACACTAATCAAAAATAAAGAGGATCTATTAAATCTCTGTCTTGGTTCTATTATAGGTGCCACTCAATTCTGTGAGTGTCAACTGGGCTGGTAGGGGGTTTGTTTCATGTGGCCAGAAGCTCCTGGCAGTGAGATGCTCAATTAACAAACTAGCTTGAACTGGGGAGCTCATGGGGTGGGGCTTCTCTTCTTGTCAAGTTCATGTCCCATTTAAAAATTGCAGAGAACTCTTTAGGCACCAATAGTATACCTACAAAACTGGCTTCTTCAAGTACATTTGTCATCAGTGGATGCACTTGCTCTCACAAATGCAGTCATAGGAATAGCTGGTAAAGAGGACTGTAGAGAATGAGGGCTGAAAGTTAAGCACTGCCCTTCAATAGTACAAGTATCTTCCATCAAAATGCCCATCACTAAGTTCAAGATTGTCACTCTTGTGGCAGGCTTCTTTTGGTCCATCTAGTAACTGATGTCTCTTGTCTATGGGGCTTTTGAAATAAACTCTGGCACACAGGTATTCCTGAAGCAATGGTCTTTCTGGCCAGTCATAAGGAAAAATTAAGAGATGAAAACTGTTCTACCCTGAGCACAGCACAGTAGGTTTTGCCTGTAAGAATTGTTTGAGGCACTGTTTTTGCAGTGTTTAAGTTTTCTTGCTTTTAGAGACTTTTCCTCAGTACCTTTAAATTTACTAGTTATATATTTACAGAGAAAAAGTAGTTACTTTTATGATGATCTCATTTACTTTGACCTCTCTGTTTTTGGTGTTGCTATGAATGAGGGAAAGGAACTAAGAAAATTTCACAGCAGGAGCTTGATCACCTCTTGTAACAAGCACTGTGATGAACTGCAAACTGACCAGGTCCCACCACAGGATGTAGATCCCAGTGGGATCTCTCCACCTGGCTATACTGCCAGTGACTCTCTGCCTGGATTGAGACTGTGGGAACTCCAGGGAGCAGGCAGAGGTGCTGTGCTATGCTGGACATCAGTGCCCAGGCTGCTGCTGGCAGAGGGCAAAGCTTCCTGCTGTACTGGAAAGGCAAGTGGGAAGTGACTGCAGATAGATCTGGTTGAGGTCCCAGGGTAAGGACTAGGTCCACATTCCTATCTCATCACCCTTTCACGGGGGAAGGTGTTTTGGAAAAGGGATGTCACGGATCGGCCGCTGGGTGGGGTGAGCGCAATATAAAACTGTGACTTTTCTAGTGTGTCGTCTCCCCGAAGCTCCTGGGTAAAACACAGCGTGCAGAGCGGGATCTGAGCCTAGGACTTACTCCACGGTGGCATCCTTTGCTTAGAAAAGAAGGAGTTTATGATCAGCTGTTCGATAGGATTGATGCTTGTTTCACACCATTTAAATCTGCTGTCTCTGTTGGTCTGTGCCTCTTACTACCACAAGATGGTATCTTTAGCGATAGTTTCTCCTCACCTGCTCCGTGAAGCCCAACTTAATATTTTGACTGTGGAGTTTCTGTCTTCACAAGGTCTGCACTTTTATCACAAATAACACAGTTCAAGGTTGCTGGTGCAGATTGCCTGCTACTGGGTACACTGGACTCAGACAAACGGAGGCAAATGATTAACCTGATACATCACGTGAAGCATTCGTACAACTAATATTCATCTCACCTCCTCTCCTGCTAACATTCTCAGGTGCTTTGCAACCCAAGTCTGGCCCTCTTACAAGGCAAGATTTCACAGTGTAGCTTTAACGGAATGGTTTGATGCATCTATTTCAAGAAAAGGTCTCAGGTTCATCCTCTAAGTATTGCTCCAGTGGGAGTGAAAGCTAGAGCACAGCTGAGATAGCGTCTGGAAGAAGGTCTCAAACCCAGAGTGCCACTGTCTAGTTTCTGTTCCTGTCTAAGGACAAACTGGTTCATACACTGGAAGTCTGCATGGGTCTGTACAACCAGGTAGGTAACACAGGATTAAAGAATCCACAAGTTTCTCCCTTCCTTCAGCACTCCTGCAGCAAGAGGTGGAATAATCATGGGTGACAGTCGAGGTAAAATGTATGAATCCTGTTCATTATTCACTGTTGAGTGGAAAAATTATCCTGCTCCTATAAGGATCTGTGCAAGAATCCAAAAGTAATTGTGAGACTCACAGTTATATCACGGAACATTTTATGTGCATGTCATGCTACTGAGTGTTGTGTTTTATACTTGGTTATTGTGAGCCATCTCACTAAAACCAGGATGTTGCCAATTGTTTGAACCAGAACAGTCAACAGGATAAATTGCCTGGTATGTCTAGGGAATGAAGATCCATATCTGCTTCAGATTTAACTTTTAAAAAATTTTGTTTTCCAAAGGAAGTTACCCTTAATTTGTAGCAATGCTCAGGGTGAGCTTAATGCAGCAGTGTCTACTCTTGATCATTTCATGGTACCGGAACTTCTGCCAGATTGGGAGATATGCCAAGTCTTCTTTTTCTTTTATTTTTTAAGCGTGTTTTTCATCATTCTGAAAGAAAAGGAAAGAGCTTGGAAATATTAAACTCTCAGTGACTCAAAGGCTCAAGATTAAAAAAAAAACCAAACATAAATGAAGACATGGAAAAAGATCCTCAAACTTATTATTTAGAAGCAAACTCATAATTCTTGCAGCCTGACTCAGAGTTTTTGAAAAATCTAGGTTGACAAGCAGGTTAAGTACAGTCTTTTCTCAACAGGAGCCAGTTGAAATCTCACAGAGGTTACCAGATCCTCCTAGTCTGGTGTTTGTGCACCCCCCCAGAAAGAAGGCTCTGCACAGTTCATGTCCACATCACAAACTCATCTCCATCCTTTGTGTTGATTTCCTGATGTGTTCAGGGCAGCCTGCCATGTCCCCTGCACTTGGTTGGCTCTTCTGAGCTTCGCTGATTCCTGAAACAGGGAACTTGGCACATCCTGGCAAGTTACACAGAGGTGAGCAAAGGATGTTCTGCATTTGCGAGGCAGACTGCAAGTGTCTGACATTTGAACCTAATGTTCAAATGTCACCAATTTGGAAGTCAGTCTGACACTATTATCAAAACCAAATCATGACTTTCAAATTTTGAGCTGACCAGCCTGGATATGCCTTGAGCACAGAATACAGCAGGGAACAGAGAGGTGAGGAAGATGGTACCAGCACCAGATCACACCCAGCCACATCAGTACCCTTTTCCAACAGCTCAAACTGGCAGAGAAATTTCTACAGCAGGGGTAAAATATGGATGTGGGCAGAGCATCTTTCTGATGCAGCTAACAAGCATCTGGCACTGAATATAGCCTGTTCAGAGGGAACATCTCCAGGGCTACGTGCTGTGCTCTGTGAAGGGGTGGGTGTGCTTTCCCCATAGACTTCTATTAAGAAACAGCATGAGCAGGATCTGGAGGAAATTGGAGGCAGCATATTGAAAGGTTTAGTTAGGCGACACACTGGAAAAGCAGCATCTGTGTATTATTTAAGCTAATAAAAAATGAATGTAACAATGTCTCCTGGATGTGGAGGTAAATTTTTCACTGTTGTCACTGAATTCATCAAAGTTTGCTTCACAGTAAAGCAATTAATTCCACAATTTGATGGCTGGTGTGTATTGAAAGAATTTGGGGATTATTTTCCTGTAGAAAATTTCCACTTTAGTTGCAAAATATCTAATGAGAACCTGAAAAGCTAATCTTGCTGTGATTCAAGTAGAAATACAGTGTCTGAGCTTGGCATAAGGTTTTAGCAGACATTAATACTAGTTTGACAGAAATGGTTGCCCAAGAAATACTGGTTCTAAGATTTGAGCACACTAACAGCAATAATCCATAGATTCTTTGAAATTATTTCCCTGGCTAAAGCGTACAAAATGCATAACCACGTATCAGTGCAGATCTAAGAGTGCACTTGCAAAGATGCCAGAGAATTGTCAGGGAAATCCCTTAATGTGAATATTAATTAGTATAGAAATAACCCACGGACATAAAGCACCTCAAATAAAAATGGGATATGTACCCAAACAAAGGACAAAATGAGAATATAAGTGTGTGCAACATTCAGAGATTATCTCTCTGAGGGTACTGATGATCTTCACTTATTTTGCTGTGTAAGAATCATTGGACAAAGGACTTTATTTGTGGTCTATGTGTCCTATGAAGCACACTGTGCTTCAAAACATTGCAATCTTTCTGATTCAGCCACAGCAAATCAATGTTGAAAGATCATTGGATAAGCATGTTAGAAAACTTAATAGAAAGTATTTTGATGAATTTCTACTTATCATTACTCAAGCAGTATAGCAAACATGAACAAATTGCTCCCTCTATGAAGATATGAAAGGCTTTTTTTTTTTTTTTGACCCACTGGCATTTTACACTTGCCCTGCCTTAGAAACAAATAACAGAACAAAGGAAAGGGATTTTGTAAATTCAGCTCTACATTCAGAGACCCGCAGGTGCTCTAGAATGCAGGACAGGAAAGGACCTCCTACATTCTTGATTCAGGTACATGAAATTGCAGGCAAGCACACATCATCCTCCCTTTCTTCAGCAGATAAACATGTTTTCTACTTCTAGGACCTCAGTGTCAGAAATGATTCAGACATTGCAGGTATCAATTTGTGTGGGGTTTTATATGGCAGGTTTGTCCTCCAGGAAAAACAGCTTTTTTTTTCTCTCCCAGGATGAGAAACACTTGATATTTTGTGGACAGCAGTTATCCCCTCTGTCAACCTTCCATTTTGCCAGGCTAAACTCTTCTCACCTCTCCTGATGCCAACTCTCCATTCCCTAGTAAGCTTCAACACTCCTGTCTTACACCTGTTCCACTGAGACAAGCCCTTCTAAATGCAGGTGACCAGAACCATACACGGTATCTCAGATGTGCTCATCCTGCTTTCTACAACACTGGCACTTCTTTGCTTTCATCAGAAACACACTTTCAATGCATGGATGCTTTGCCAGTGCCATGACGCTCTTTGACAGAGCTTGTTCTGCACACTGACAGCCTCTATTGATTCAGTAAGTGACTGGACTAATTCCTAAGATCAATCCCCCTCCCTGGATGTCAAGGTCTATTAAATACAAAGATAACCACCAATGGCTCATGAAGCTGCATATCATTACAAGGTACATTGGTAAAGTATCAATACTTACTTTCTTGCTCTTCTGTAGGAATTTGCTCTTGATCAAACTTGAGGTTAGATAGATCTTAGTTTTGACCCAGCACAACAATTTTTTTATTTTCACTTGCTTTTTTTCATCCTGCATTGGTGATCTGTGTATTATAACTGACTATACATTCTGTATTTTCTCATCATTACTGATTTCAGACTAACAACAGCCCAGATTATAGTGAAAAATTTTGTTCTTAGTCCCTGGAGGAACAAGTTTGCATTTTGACTTTTTGTCTTCTACTGTTCCAGGCCTCTAGATTATCTGATCCTTCATTCTCTTTATTGACAATTCTTTCTAACTTTCTCCTACAAACAAATTCTTCTTGCCATTACAGAAGATTTGTCCTGGTACCAGGATTTAGTGACATTCATTAAAACACCTAGAAGTTTCTTTCTCCATTCTATACATCCATTTCTCCTTTATCCAGTTCCTTATCACTGTGCAGCTCTTGTGTTCAACTTTGTATTTTTCAGACAAATTAATCAAGGTGCACTATTGCATACACTACTGTTACTACTCAGTTACATGAGATATAACATACATCCTTCACCTGGAAAATGACAGATCTCCTAAAAAGTAGCATCTGATTACCCTGAGAACTTTGGTATTCCAAGTTAATTCTGCATCTTCAGGGACTCTTTAACTCAAAACACATTCTGTGGCCTCACAGATGGTTCCAGTTGAGCCAGAAGCTCTGTAAAGGGATTCACAGGAATGCTGGACATTATCCACACACCAGTCATGGATGGGTCTATCTGTCCACATGGGAAATCTTCCAGCACCTCACCTCCTGGAACCCATGCACAGGCCTCTGCCTCAGCTGCTGTAGCAGACTGCTGGCACCCACTTGTATTCTTTGAGACTTCCTCCACTGATTTCCTTGCTCAAGCAACAGCTTGGATTGGTGAACAGATGGGTGTGCAGACATACACAGCACCAGCTTGTGGAAGAGACAACTTGAGGACATTCTTCCATTTTGTTGCTGTATGTAGTTCATACAGGACTTCTGTGTGACCCCCATACCAACACATCATGCTATTTTCCCAGTCATCCTTTCTGGTTTATATGGCAACAGATACACATCATACCTGTTGCCTGTGACTACTTGTACAATGGAAACCATGTAAGAAAGCAAACAGTGAAATTATTGGTACACATGGACACACAGTGCTTTTTTCTTCCTCCTCAAATCCTTCCCCAAATTTTTATCTGCAAGTAAGTTTGACTGTATGAGTGACCGCTCTTCTCAAACCTTTTCATATGGGAGTTGGCTCAGTCTGAAATATTGTCAAAAAGACTCTTGCTCTTCACATTAAAAAGAAGAACACCATCAACAACCTTCACACATCCCACATGTGAAGCAGCACAGAGAGAGTAATGCTTCCTTTCCAAAGCCCACAGAAAGCACTGAGAGAAGTCAACTCCCTGAACTACAAGATGAAGGCTAAAAATAACCCATTAAAGGATTAATTTCAGGATTTTAAAATACAGCTAATTAATATGCATAGGAAAGGCACATGGTCTCCAGGAAGGAGCACACACAATCAGAGAGTCTGCAAGGGAAGGGAGGGGGGCGGGTGACATGCAGGCAGAGTGCCAAAGGAGAGATAAAAGAGGATATTCCCTATATATATCCCTTGGATAGAGAACATGTAAAAAAAAAGTGTGTTTCAGAAGAGGTAGAAGCAGAGGGGTGAAACACTTCACTGTTGAAGAGGCAGAGACAACACAGTGCGACCACAAAGGACAGGATCCTGTGTGAAGAGCAGTGAGGACAGTCATGGAGTCTTCAGCGTCGGACAAAATGTTACACACAAGGACAGAGAGCCTGATGGTACCAGGGCACAAGGTTTTCTGTGTTAGGACTCAGTGGTGGAGACACTGTGACGTGAATAGACATAAACGTGCTTTGATACACAAAGTGAATTTTAGTGAGGTAGCTTAAGGGCCGAGCACACCACAAGGAGATCAATGGAAGCAGAAGCTGCTGCTTTGGTAGTGACACTGCAGTTGGAAGCTGAGTGCATCATGAACATGCTTGCGTGGAAAGCTAGGGAGCAACAGCTGAATGCAAAACTGGATCTCAAGATGGACCGCGTGGCAGGGTGTGGACAGGGTGTCATGTGTTGCACTGGATTATGGCACTTCGGAAGCAGTTTTCTCTTCTGAAGTAATACTGAAGTAGGTCACTGCAGCCTAAGGCTAAAGCACTCTCGTTGGGTACAGCCTGGGAAAGTTGGGCATTGAATATAAAGCACTGAAACAGGATGCACAGGCTGGCAGTCATGAAAACAAGGTACCACATACAACAACATGGGTGGCATCAGACAGTAAGGATTATTCACAGGTAGTGTGAATCAGAAAGCAAATCTGGTTATTCAGGGGCTGAACTGCAGAACAGAGAACTATAGCAGCAATTCCAGTGAATTTAAAGGTGTAGGGTGAAAACAGGCTCACTTGAAATCATTTCCTCATACCAATTTCCCTGTAAATAACATTTAAACAATTACAACTTTTTCCATTTCACAGAGGGCAGAGGAATAGACAGACGGACTTAAGTGCCCAATTCACTGGCTACTTAGTCTCAAGAAAAGCTGGAGTTTTAACCTGGTATTGTAAGAAAATTAAGTTTATTTAGTAGTACTGCTTGTTTGACTGTTTGAACTTTCTAGCCACCTTCACACAAGTTTGACAAAAGGGGAGAAATCTCATGATTTTGTGGGATTTCACTTTCGCAGTCGCACAGAAACAGCCTCAGGCTGCTGTGCACGCAGCTGCATCTT